ACAGCTCCTTAGTGAAGCTTAAAGAATGAATGATCAAATGTGGAATGCAGAAAAGGGAAGTCAAGGATAACTCTTCAGTTTCTAGTTCAGAAAGTTAATGATGGGCTCTCTGCTCCTCCTGCATCGACACCTAGACCTCTCTTCTCATGCAGCCATAGCCACATCCCTGAGACACAATGATGAAGTTTGGAGTAAACAAATGTGGCTGCACTGGACATCTGGTAACCAGGGCTGCTTTTTAACTCTGACAAAGTGGGTATTGTTGCCTTCAATGACCCCTTCATTGACCTCACCTTCGTGGTTTCTATGTTCCAATATGATTCCACCCATGGCAAGTTTAATGGCACTGTCAAGGCTGAGAATAAGAAACTAGTCATCAATGGGAAAGCCATTACTATCTTCCAGTAGCGAGATCCCACCAACATCAAGTGGGATGATGCTGGTGCTGAGTATATTGTGGAGTCCACTGGTGTCTTCACAACCTTGGAGAAGGCTGGGGCTCATTTCAAGGGTGGTGCCAAATGGATAAATCATCTGTGCTCCTTCTGCCGATTTCCCCCATTTTGTGAGGACTGTGAACCATGAGAAGTAGAACAGCTCTCTCAAGATTGTCAGCAATGCCTCCTGCACCACTAAGTGCTTGGCCTCCCTGGCTAAGGTCATCCATGACAACTTTGGCATCGTAGAGGGACTTGTGACCACAGTCCATACCATCACTGCCACAGAGAAGGCTCCGGATGGCCCCTCTAGAAAGTTGCAGCATAATGGCCATGGAGCTGCCCAAAACATCATCTCTGCATCTACTCATGCTGCCAGTGCCATGGGCAAGGTCATCCTTGAACTGAATGGGAAACTTACTGGTGTGGTTTTCCGTGTCCCCAACCCCAGTGTGTCAATCAGGGATCTCACCTGCTCTCCGAAGAAAGCTGCCAAATATGATGACATCAAGAAAGTAGTAAAGCAGGCATCAGAAGGGCCACTCAAGGAGATCTTGAGATACACTGAAGACCAGGTCTTCACCTGTGACTTTAACAGTGATACTCACACTTCCATCTTTGATGCTGGTGCTGGCATTGCCCTGAACGACAGCTTTGTCAAACTTATTTCCTGCTATGACAGTGAATTCTACAGCAACTGCATGGTTGACCCTGTTCATACATGGTCTCCAAAGAAGAAGAGCCCCTTGAACCACCAGTCCCAGCAATAGCACCAGGAGAGGGAGGGAAAAAGGGAGGGAGGGAGGTGGAGAGAGAGAGACAAGAGAAAGAGAGAGAGAGACCCTCAGCTTCTGGGGAGTCCTTGCCCCAACTCGAACTCGCCACACTCTGAGAATCTCACATCTCTGACAGTTTCCACCTAGTCTCCCTGAGAAAGAGGAGTAACTTAGAGAGCCCATCTTGTCATGTACTATCAGTAAAGTACACTGTACTCAGGAACATAAAAAAAAAATAAATAAAAGAAAGTTAATGATGGGAAGTTTTGGTGATAAAAGTTTTCAGAAGCATTTGATAAATTAGTTTATTGATATATTGCATTTTAATTGCCTGGGGAGCTGGCCTTGGTTCATTTCAGTATCTTCTTGCCGCGTCCTCTAAAGCTCTCCCTCACTTAATCATTTTCATCTTTCTTTTATTATTTAATGCACTTTAGTCATATCGGCCCTCTACTTTTCTTGTGTACCAAGTTCTCTGGTGACCTAGTTTTAAGAAGCTGCGCTGTAATTCCAAAGACACGCAGTTCGGATCCAGCAGCTTTTCTGTGGGAGAAGGGTGAACAGTGTCCTCCTGTGCAATTTACTGCCTCTGAGAGAAAACCTGTTAGAAGGTCAGCTAGAGGTCGATTCTGACTCAAACAACAACAGCAAAGTTCCTTGGTAACTCAGGACTTTGTACTATCCTCTTAGTAAAATATTACTTGTCTAGGTATTGCCATAGATATCTCCTTCTTGTCATTTACTCCATGGATCACATGTTACCTCTTCAGAGCAGCCTTTCTTAAGTACCCTTTGTCAGAACCAGACCATCAATCACTGTCTGTCCTACTGCTTCCTGACCCCAATTACCTTTCATTTCACTTATTGCTGCCTAAACTTTGTTAGTTGTTTATTCTGCTTACCTCCTCTAGATTATAAACTTCTGGGAGTGGAGCTCTTTAGCCATTAGTTAGTCAGCTCTGGTCTTCAGCTATCTTAACTACATCAGCTGTAGGACTAAGATGAGTGAGAGTGCTTCCCACATTAAGCAACAAGACTTGAGGCAAGCAAGGCTTTTGGCGGCAAGACCCTGGTGGTGGACTCACATGATGTGACTTGAGGCTTCTTGCACTTGTATTGGCCACAGTTGGACTTTACTTTCCTTGCCTTACCTTTGACGATGACTTTGAGGAGTTGTGCCTTGGAACTTGGGCTAAAACCTAGGCTTATTTTGGGTGATATTGTCATATTCTTTGCCTCCTTCACTTTCCAACTTCCTTCCCTAATAAACCCTGTTGTTGGTACCATAACTGTGAGTCTGTGAGTCCGCAATAAATAAATTAACTTCTGCTGCTGGGGCTGTACAGGCACTAAGAGGCCAGGCTACAGGCTCCTGATCTGCTTTCTGCCCTGGGCTGGTGAGAGGCTGTGTTTTTCTCATATCTTCTGGTCCTTTCAGAGAGACCCTTATGGCCTTGTGCTTCTTTCAGAGAGACCCTTATGGCCCTGTGCTTCTGTGTCCAGTTTTTCCCTTTTTAGACAACCATTCACACATGAAGACAATCTCTAGCATTTAAAAGCTCAAGAAGAATGTTCTGAAAGATTATAAATTCCTGTATGTGAAACTCAGGTTGTTCGATTATAATCACTTTTGTAAGTCCTGGATAACAGGGGTGAAATATACATGAAAAGAAACACATCCTGTAGATTCACAATTAGTAAAGCTTGAACTGAACACAGTCTACCTGCAGGGGAGAAAAAGAATTTTCATGCAGTGATCCTTGCATGTTGTTGTTGTTGTTATGTGCCGTCGAGTCGCCTGCGACTCATAGCGACCCTGTGTACAACAGCCCTAAACTCCACTCTGTCCTGTGCCAATCGCACTGTCTCTGACACTCCCATCCCAATTATCCCAGTCACTGAATCAATCCACCTCATAGAGGGCCTTCCTCTCCTGCACTGTCCCTCCACCCTCCCAAGCATGATGTCCCTCTCCAAGGACCGGTCTCTCCTCACAACATGTCCAAAGTAAGTTAGACAGAGCCTCAGAATCCTTGCCTCCAAGGAGCCACCCGGTTTAGCCCTTTCCAGGACAAATCTCTTTGTTTTCCTAGCAGTCCATGGTATTCTCAATACTCTTCTCAAGCACCACAGCTCAAAGGCATCAATTCTCCTTCTATCCTCCTTGGTCATTGTCCAACTCTCTGATGCATAACAAGTGATTGCAAAAACCATAGCCTGTATCAGACACACCTTAGTCTCCAGAGAGATACCATTGCTCTTCAGCACTTTGGAGAGGTCCCTAACAGCAGACGTTCCCACGGCAATGCGCCTTTTAATTTCCTGGCTGCTGGTGCCAAGACTGTTGACTATGGAGCCAAGCAAACTAAAGCTGTGTACAATCTCAATCTCTTCACCATCCATCCTGATGCTGCTAATTGGTCCAGTGGTGAGAATCTTTGTTTTCTTGGCATTGAGCCTCAATCCATATTGTAGGATGTAGTCCTTGACACTCTGCAGCTGGCGCTTCAGGTCCTCCTCAGTTTCAGGAAGCAGGGTTGTGTCATCTGCATAACGCAGATTGTTGATAAATCGTCCACCAATCCTGACCCCACATTTCTCCTCATAGAGCCCAGCCTCCCGGATAATCTGTTCTGCATATAGGTTGAAAAGGCATGGAGACAGGACGCATCCCCGGCGTACGCCCTTCCCAATTTTGAACCATGCAGTGTTCCCTTGCTCTGTTCTGACGACTGCCTCCTGGTCCAAGTCTAAGTTTCGCATTAGAACGATCAAGTGTTCTGGGATTCCCATTCTTCTCAGAGTCAGTCACAGTTTGTTATGATCTACACAATCAAATGCCTTTGCATAGTCAATGAAACACAGATAGACATTCCTCTGGTATTCCCTGCTTTCAGCCAAGATCCATCTAACATCACCTACAATATCCCTCTAGTACCACGACCCCTTCTGAAACCAGCCTGGACTTCTGGTAGTTCTCTGTTGATGTGCTGTTCCAGTCATTTTTGGATAATCTTCAGTAAAATCTTGCTTGCATGTGAAATCAGTGAGATTGTTCTGTAGTTTCCACATTCTGTTGGGTCACCTTTCTTAGGGATAGGAACAAATATCGATCTCTTCCAGTCAGTTGGCCAAGTGGTCGTTCTCTAGATTTCTTGGCACAATTTGGTGAGCACATCCAGGGCAGCATCTGTTAACTGAAATATGTCAATTGGTATACCATCTATTCCTGGAGCCTTATTTTTTGCCAGTTCCTTCAAAGCAGCCTGAACTTCTTCTTTCATCACCATAGGCTCTTGCTCATATGTTGTTTCATGAAATTCTTCTGTGTCTTCCAATTCCTTTTGATACAGTGACTCAGTATATTCCTTCCATCTTCTTTTAATATTTTCGGGATCATTTAACATTCTGCCGAAAGCATCCTTGATTATAGCAACTCGAGGTTTGAATTTGTTCCTCAGTTCCTTGAGCCTAAGATATGCTGAGCGAGTTCGGCCCTTTTGATTTTCTGACTCCAACGCCTTGCACATTTCATTGTGATATTTTGCTTTGTCCTTGCATAAGAATGAAAATTTTGTTTAATCTTGTTATGTTCTTGTTGTTATGTACCATAGAGTCATAACAAACCCATAGCTATCTCTTCAGTGGGTTTTCAGAGGCATGGCAGGAGATTGCTCGTGTCCTTAGCAGCATATTTTAGAAATGGAAATGCTTCTTTTTCTTTAAGTGAGGAAAAAAGTTATCTTTATTACTTGTAAATTTTAAAACTAATTTTTTTCTCTTAAAGGCTCAATCCCAAGATATAGTTCCAACAATAGGATTCAGCATTGAAAAATTCAAATCAACCAGGTAAGTCTATTTATTTATGCGTTGATTAAGGAACCCTAGTGATTCAGTAACTGTGTGGCCACTCCCAGAAAGTTGAGATCTATAACCTACCCTGTGACTCTATGAGAGGAAGACCTGACGATCTGCTTTTATAAATAATATGGTATAGAGAGTTCTATGGATTACTTGCAGATGATCTGATACGGCAATATATTTAGAAAATACAAAAAAAATTCACTAAGAAAATTGCTGGCTCTAATTGCCCAATTTAGCAAAGTGACTTGGTACCAGATGAATATATAAAAATTAATCAGATATATTTGTAGTAACAAAGAAAACTCTGAGAAGGAAATAATGAAAGCAATGCCATTTGCAATAGCAACCAACAGATGAAATATTTAGCAATAAATCTAACCAGAGATAGGAAAAATCTTTATAAAGAAAGCTATAAGGCTAGTTATAGGAAGCCCAAAGAGACCTACATAAATGGGCAATTATGCCATATTCTTGGATTGGAAGACTTAACATTGTGAAAATTACATTACTAAAAGCTCTCTTTGAATACAGTACAAGTTCTAGCCAAATACTATAGTTCATTTTTCAAATATACAGAAAAAGCAATTACCAACTTAATATGGACAGTAAAAAGATTCTGGATGAGTAAAGAGATACTAAAGAAGAAAATTGAAGTAGTAAGAGGCCTCATGAAACAGTACACAACATGGGAAAGTCTAGAGAACATTTTCCTGAGTAAAATAAGTCAGTCACAAAAGGACAAATACTGTTTAAGACCACTGCTATTTTTTAAAAAAACCCTCAAAAACAACCACCACAACAGCAAACTAGAGAAAGATTTGTGAAAAGAGCGAATCAATCAAGTATGGTTTTAGAGCGTAGGAAATTAAAGGATAGACAATGAACACTTCAGTGGATAGATAAAGGAAAGGAAAATGTGAAATGAATGGATAATCAGACATTGTGTGTATTATAATTAACAGTGTGAAACAGGATATGCATGATTGCCTGGGACCCAAAAAAAGCTAAGATTACACAAAAACAGTTGTAGATGAGTGAGAGGGATGGGAGAGTAGGAAGACAGAAGCAGAGATTAGTGAATGAAGGAACAGGCAAAGTATAATGAGGATTGATGAGACATTGTATTAATTGGCATTGATCATTTGTAATTAATGTACTATTTATATACATATATGCTAATTTTTATATAACATAATTTTCTTTAATGAATCTTTAATATTGTTTCTCACATGTACACACATGCATACATATGTTTTTGTTGGCTGCTGTCAACTTGATTTTCATTCCCAGAGAACTGCCAGAAGCCCAGGCTGGGTTTAGCAGGGGTCGTGGTACTAGGGATATTGTAGCTGATGTTAAATGGATCTTAGCTGAAAGCACGGAATACCAGAGGAATGTCTATCTGTGTTTCATTGATTATGCAAAG